ATTCCTATACAGTTGGGACCATAACCTCCAAAATCAATCCCAACCTTGCTTTAGTGGTTATAAACCTTGTGTTAAAATTTTATTGATTTCTATTTACTTATACTAAAGCTGGTACCATCTGTCTTCGGACGACGACGACGATGACAACGTGATACCAATATATGACCAAAAATTTTTTAATTTTTGCGTTCCTATAAAAAGTTAATTTCATATACTGTGAAAGTACTTTTATTCGTGGGGTACCAATTTTTCGGGGTTTTCGTGGATGGCTTTATCCACGAATTTAAGTGTCCAACGAAATCAAGACATGGAAAGATCCCTATTACCATAGGTTTGATTACATGGATACTGGCATATGATCTAGAAAATACATTGAATATCAGCAGACGCACTATAAACTATATATACATCTTCAGACAGGATTTTACCCATTTGATCTTTAAAAAAACTAAACTGTACGACTTTTAACCTTTTAATTCTCATAAAAAATTAGTTGTGATCGATAAAAGTCATACTTTTGGTGATGATATGCAATGATGAAGGGTTCATTTTATCTCCTCATAATCATGATAATTCTCATACGAAAAAAAAGTTATATTGGGCTTGCTTTTTTATTTCATAAGATTTATTTATACAATTCAAAGTACATTTGTAACATTTTTGTATGTCACCTTTTCCTTTGAGTGACATGTTTATGGCCCAATTAACACCTTTGGTGAACCTAATCTGTTGATCAATCGATCTCGGGTTAATCAGTGTCATCACTTCTGATTACACACATGTGCCACTATTTAAATGTTTACTTTGCAATTTCCTTTAATCAAGATCATTTGTAAGGATAGATTAATCAGCTTATTTCTGAGAGCAATTATTTTATCAAAAGTTTGATGAATGTAATGAAAGACGAACAAGTAAGGGAAGATGAACACCTTATTTTGCAATGTCCCACAAATTATCATAAAACAACATATCATTGTCATTTTGCTTAGTTTCTTTTGTTACCTATTCTGACATCGGACTCGGACTTCTTTTAAACTGAGTTTTACTGTGCGTATTGATATGCGTTTCTTTATTCCACATTGGCTAGAGGTATAGGGGAGGGTTGAGATCTCACAAAACATGTTTAACCCCGCCGCATTTTTGCGCCTGTCCCAAGTCAGGAGCCTCTGGCCTTTGTTAGTCTTGTATGTTTTTTAATTTTAGTTCATTTATATGTTTTGGAGTTTAGTGTGACGTCCATTTTCACTGAACTAGTACACAATTTTATCTAGGGGCCAGCTGAGGACCACCTCCGGGTGCGGGATTTTCTCGCTGCGTTGAAGACCCATTGGTGGCCTTCAGCTGTTGTCTGCTCTTTGGTCGGGTTGTTGTCTCTTTGACATATTCCCCATTTCCATTCTCAATTTCATATGATTATTTTCACAAGTATTCCTTTCAGATGGATTCAAATTCTTCACCAGATTTGTTTTTCTTTCAAAAAATTAAAATCCATGAACTTAAGAACCCACGAACATATAAATTTTGCTCAAACCACAAAAATTGATACCCACGAATAAAAATACTTTGACAGTAATGTAAATTATATAATGTATAAACAAATGTGGTCCCTGAACACTCAGAAATGTCTTGTTTACATAATGATATGACATGTTAAAGGCTCAGAATTTTAATTTCACTTTGATCTACAGAGTGAAAAACTGAAAAAAAAATTTTGATCTTAAATTCTATCCATAACAGTTGTGTTCTGTCCATAGAGTTTCTAACACAACAGAATGGACCTTCTCCTTGATCTGTTGACCTCAAAATCAATAAGGCTAATTCCAAGAAACAGGTTTGGTAACAATTGGAGTTGATTAAAAGTATTATGACCATACCAAAAATTTTCATAAATCCAGTCTATTAATTGAATATCTGATTCATGGCAAAAAGATTTTGTTTGGACACAAATTTTCCTGAGCAACAATTTATCAATAGGCACAGTGACCTTGACCTACTGACCCACTGATAACAAAAAACCCAACAGGGTCTCACCCAATAAGATGATTGGTAAAGATGTTCTTTATGACAAAAAATGATTTTTTTTAAAAGCGAAATAATAACACCTGGACAGTAAGGCTTAGTCATATTACATGTATTAGTTTGACTATGTCTCAACTTTGCTAAACATTTGGAATTCAGTAGACCATGATTAAATAAAGTCTTGTAATGAGCACACAATTGAGATGAATGGATACAAATGCAACTACATGTATATCTGTATATACAAATATCATTAACCCAACAAAAGTACTTATTCTAAAATGGACCAGATTGAAGAACTAAAAACTTATCAACTAAAAAACTGTTACAGTTTTTCTATAAAAGCATGCAAAGCAAACCTTTGATCAACTTGCTTGCTATGTTTGCTTGGATGTTTGTAAACAAAAGGGTAGGCAGAGTTTCAGTCTGTTTAATATATACTGGTATTCTGGTATTTGATTGGACAATAAAAATTGACATACAATGTGAAACTTAACATTTAAATGAAGTTAATGTTTATTGTCCAATCAAATTCCAGTATATAGTAAACAGACTGAAATAGACTACCTACCTATTGTTTACAAACATCCAAACAAACATAGCAAGCAAGTTGATCAAAGGTTTGCCTTGCATCCTTTTATAGAAAAGCTGTAATGACGCCAGAATATTAACATTCAGTCGGAAAGCTGACCCTGGTTTGACCCCATTTCTTAAAGCAACAATGGAAGTCATGTGATTACCATATATGGGCATTTTTTTACCAAAAAAAGTGAAGCCCGTTTTTTGGAATTTGTAGTTTTTTGCATGAATTAAAACTAATTTGCTTTTAAGTGAACATTCTTGAGTATATAAGAAATATATTGATCCACTCATTTATGGATTAAACTAATTTTTTCTCTCAAAATGTGTCTTCATAGTGTTGACCAAAAAAATCGGTCACTGGAAATTAAAATCGTAATTTTCTTTCTTAACTTCTCGGGAAGCTATGCTGAATTTAAATTGTGTTATGTAACATAACTCTGACAATGATATGTCAAATTTGTGCCACTTAATACGCTGTAATACGCAAATGTGCCACTTCGATGTGTAGATATTTCTGACGAAGCGGGCCGATAGTAATTTACGAGTTACGTCCCTTTGTTTGACACTCTCATGATCAAACTATTATTATATTAAGCACCATATGCTGTTATTTACATGAGGATATTATTAAAATAATTTTATTGAATATATTTTGATACTAAAGACATGTGCAAAAAACTGAATTAGCGAAACACATTTTATCACTTTTCAGAACTCAGTCTCAGTGAAATACTCAAATAGACCCTTTTGTTTGGAATTTAGTTCGAACGGGGTTTCCTAAGGGGTGATAGAGCGTTAGACTTGATTTTTGTTTAAACTTTGAGATACTTATTATTAATTTTTTATATAGTTTGTATATTCTTTGTTTATCTGGAAAAAAAAGAAGAAAAAAATAACAGACAATTTCGCATAATTCTTAAACAATGATCAAAGGCATTACGTTATTTTTAAAAGACGGACAATTTATAACATGTTTAAGTATTATTTTCTTTGATAATAAGAACCATGCTTGAAAAATCGAAAGAAATCTATTTCTGACCCTAATGGCAAGTAAGAAACAGAAAAAAGAAAAAAATCCAAATTGGCGCCAAATTATTTTTTCCGCGAAATTAACGCAATTTCAGAATGGCGGGTTTTAATATCAGTCCCATTGTTGTCTTAAGAAAGTAGCAACAATGGTCGTTTCTAAGGGCTTGCTTTCCGACTGATTCATGTCTAACTTTGTTAAATTCAATTGCAGATGTGAAAGAAAAACACCTCAAATCTGTTTATTTTTGCATTATTCAAGAGGAATAACTAGGAAAACAACAACCTTGACCTTCGTTGAGAAATTCCTACTAATATTGTGAATGTTGATCCCTAATCAAATAATAGAGTGGAAATTTTAATATAATTTACTCAATTGTGAAGAGAAAATGGGAAGAGGGCAAAGTCTATTTTCTGAAAAAACTAATTACTGTGACTTGACTGTAAGTGTTGCTCTCAACCTAATGCAGTTTATTCAAAATTCTGACCAAATTGCAATTTGTTTTAACAGGCCAAACTGTTCAACTGGTCAGAAATTGGAACAAACTGCTGTAGAAAACCACAGTCAAGTCGTGAAAGTGCAAGGTGATAAAATAAAGCATATACTTACAATCCTATAAGACTTTAATTCCACTTCATTGATATTATGAACATGAATAAAATGTTTATAAGAAATTCTATACATTCTTTTATTGTAATTGTTTTTTGAAAGGTGATAGGTAGTAATTAATAAATTGCTAAAAAAATGTCAAAACTAAGCTTTCATAAAACTTTTCTTTTAAAAAATATTCTAAATTCATAAGAATAAGACATCAGTTTAAATTAAACCATGTTATATTTAGTAGAATAAATGTGATATTACAATACATTGCTAATAAGTTTCCATGGGTGATAATCTAAAATCATTGATCGTTTGAAATATTGCTCTTATTCCTCCATTAAAACTTAAGAACACAATCAAGCCTAAAGTACATTTCACAAAGTATTTCAGAGATTAATTCAAATAAAGTTTTGCAGCATGCATAGATAAAACACCATTTTAGAAGAAATAATTCAAAAACTTAAAATTTGAACATTTTTTAGCAGCTCAAAAATTACTACCTATCACCTTTTGAATGGCAATAACAATAAAAGAATATATAGAAATACTTGTAACCATTTGCATAAAATCAAAGAGTTTGTTTGAAGTCTTACCTCATTCTTTAGGAGTTTGGAATGGATATTTATTATCCTGTTCATATAAAAGTTTAAACACCTAACTTCATTTTCTTATTTTCAAGCTTATTTTAGTGAGCATGTTATACAGCTGAACCTTGTTCCAGCAGTTTACTTGAAACTTACCTTATTCTGTAGAGTTTGTCATGAAGCCTTACCTTGTTCTTTAGGGGTTTGTGATGGAGACATGGCTCCTGTTTGTCTTCTTTTGGCATCACTTAAAATATCTATCACAAGGGTAGTAAACTCTCTGGCATTAAATCTGGCAAGTTTCTGACGACCCTATAGATAAGAGAAATTTAATATTAAATTTTCTGGCATTAAATCTGGCAAGTTTCTGACGACCCTGTAAATAAGAAAAACTATACAATAAATTCTGTGGCATTAAATCTGGCAAGTTTCTGTCGACCCTGTAAATAGGAAAAACTTAACATTAAACTCTCTGGCATTAAATCTGGCAAGTTTCTGACGACCCTGTAAATAAGAAAAACTTAATATTAAATTCTCTGGTATTAAATCTGGCAAGTTTCTGGCGACCCTGTAAATAAGAAAAAATTAAGATTAAATTCTCAACTCTCTGACATTAAATCTGGCAAGTTTCTGATGACCCTATAAATAAGAAAAATTTAACATTAAATTCTCTGGTACTAAATCTGGCAAGTTTCTGACAACTCTGTAAATAGGAAAAACTTAACATTAAATTCTCTGGCATTAAATATGGCAAGTTTCTGACGACCCTGTAAATAGGAAAAACTTAACATTAAATTCTCTGGCATTAAATATGGCAAGTTTCTGACGACCCTGTAAATAGGAAAAACTTAACATTAAATTCTCTGGCATTAAATATGGCAAGTTTCTGACGACCAAGTAAATAGGAAAAACTTAACATTAAATTCTCTGGCATTAAATATGGCAAGTTTCTGACGACCCTGTAAATAGGAAAAACTTAACATTAAATTCTCTGGATTAAATTCTCTGGCATTAAATATGGCAAGTTTCTGACGACCCTGTAAATAGGAGAAACTTAACATTAAATTCTCTGGATTAAATTCTCTGGCATTAAATATGGCAAGTTTCTGACGACCCTGTAAATAGGAAAAACTTAACATTAAAATCTAGAAAGCATAACCAATGCATAATAAGAAATTAAAAGAAGAATGTGTCTGAGGACACAAATGTCCCAGCTTAAACTTTGCAATTTTCCAAGGTAAAAAGGAGCATAATTATATAAAATTAAATGACTTACTGCCCAAATTCGAATTCTGTCTGCCTGTTGTGGTTCATAGCATTGTGTATAAGTTTCATAAAATTTGCACGAGGAAAACTTATGTTAGAGTGTGGAAAGGAAAATCAGACAAATGGAAGGACGGACAGTCAATGGTAACATTTAATGCCCCTTCGCCTAGCATTTAGTAACTTTTTATTTACACTTTTTATCACTGGCTACTATTTACCGTCAAATCCACAACTATAAAGAAGTGAGCTGACATATTGACCTACTGAAATCCATAATTGTGAGATTAATGGAATAAAATTAAAAATCAATCAACACCTACCTCAAAAACTCCATTTTATCTAAATTTGAATTGTACAAGTAATTGAATAACCGTCAACTTGAGTTTTAATTCGTATGATGTCATGTTTTGAAATGAGGTAAATGCACAAAGACCATTCATGAAATTTCACAGAATTTTATTTTCTGTGAAGTTTCAGCAATCTAGGTTGCAACTTTTAGAGGAGTTGATTACGAAAATAAGGTACCAATTTTTTTCCCATCTGCCCACCTGCCTGACACCATTAAACTATATAAAAAAAAGATGTGGTATGATTGCCAATGAGACAACTCTTCACAAGAGACCAAATGACACAGAAATTAACAACTATAGGTCACTGTACGGCCTTCAACAATGAGCAAAGCCCATGCCGTATAGTCAGCTATAGAAGCCCCCAAAATGACAAATGTAAAACAATTCAAACGAGAATCTAACGGCCTAATTTATGTACAAAAAAATGAACGAAAAACGAATATGTAACACAGCAACAAATGACAACCACTGAATTAAGCTGGTTTTGGACTTTGCCCAACACAGCCAAAAATAGAAGCAATCATTTAAAACATTATTATACATAGCTTACCTGATTTCTTGTTGCTGAAAAATCTGGATTTAGAGGTAGAAATGGAACACCTTGCCTATCACTGACAACAGCTGAATTGTCATGTGACTGACTCCAATCTATAAATAAAATATCACCGTTAGAGATATTGAATCTGAATAAATTTTTATTATGGTTCCAGCGTGAAATTTCCAGGACACTTCTTTTAATTACATCAAATGAATACTGTAAATTCAGAAATTATTGCGTACATTTATTATTGCGATTTTTGAAGAATGGACATAAATGCAAGATAAATTATTGCAATTTATGGAAAATATGCATATAGATATATGTATCAGATATCAGAATGCAACTTCTTAATACTGCGATACTCACCCAGTCGCATTATTTGCAATAATAAAATCTTCTCAATAATTTCTGAATTTACAGCATGTCTTTTCTGCCAACATATTTTTGTATATTAAATATCATTTTAACATAAGTATAACAAGTTAGTCATACATAAAACGTTTGTTTACATCCTTGTCCTGGAATCTTTAGGTGAAAAAAAGTTGTATTTGTAATCATACCACATATTCTTATTTCTAAATTGATGTTTGCACATTGTTTATGGCCCCTTACCTTCAATGTATCAAAGCACCTTAGTAACAATAATGTAATCTGTGAGATTACGTTATAGAGAAAGTCCAAATAACTGTCCATTCCTGGGAAATAATGGAGCGGAGGCCCGTAGGGCCAAAGCCCATTATTTCCCAGGAATAGACAGTTATTTGGACTTTCGCTAACTTAAAATACACCTAAAATATTAAAAACGAATCTTCAGATTATATCATTTTAAAGAATTTTATTTAAGTTTGTAATGGTTTTCTGTTCATTTTCCCCGTGTTGTACCCAATAATCCGCAGGCAAAATTTAAGATCAAGCTGACATCTACTCACTTAACGAAGTATTTATGAACAGTAGAATAATTACTATAAAAATATCTTGAATAAAGTTCATTCAGATCTATGTTTAAAGTCATTGGATACGCACGTCTTTCTTGTGTTGGGATTAAAAGGATATTTATTTGTGTCTTTAAGTGGTATTTCGGGAGAGTAAAAAAAAAAACTAGTATTTATGCATATATGTTAATGGATTATATGTGTTTTTCGTTTGATAAATATTGAATGTAGAATCGTCTGAGAAAAGTGAAATGGTACAACTAGAATGAATTTCCAGGTATGTAACACTCTAGTATAGGTTATTTAACTAAAAACGGTGTGCTCGATTTAAACTCATATCGAAAACAAAATGATTCTATATTTCAAGCCATTTTAATCGATGAAATAAAATGAAAAAAACAAGAAAACAGTATTTCATGCACAACACAACATTTTGTCTTCCCTTTGCTAATTACAACGAACAAAACTTGTATGCATTTTTTTTAAATAGCAATACAAGCAAACTGAAAGTATGTTTCATTCTTCCCTATTATCAGAAAGGAAGCTAAAAGTTTTAGAAACAAAAATCCGCATGAATAAAAACAATCCTGGATTCTGTTTTGTATGTATTTAACTTAAGTGGACAACAGTCTATCTTTTAATTTCATTTAAACATTTATTTCAAGATTAACGCTGTTTATTTGCACTGTCGATATAACTGTTATATTTGCCACTGGACATATAACAAAAGTGAATGAATTCGATTATGTTACGTGTTTCTGTTGAAAACTGATTAAAAACCCCGCCTAAAATTTAACACAAGCAATAGCAATACAAGCAAACTGAAAGTATGTTTCATTCTTTCCTATTATCCGAAAGGAAGCAAAAAGTTTTAGAAACAAAAATCCGCATGATTAAAAACATTTCTGGATTCCGTTTTATATGTATTTAACTTAATTAGACAACAGTCTACCTTTTAATTTCATTTAAACATTTATTTCAAGATTAACGCCGTTTATTTGCACTGTCGATATAACTGTTATATTTGCCACTGGAATATAACAACAGTGAATGAATGCGATTATGTTATGCGTTTCTGTTGAACATTGATTAAAAAACCCCGCCGAATATTTTATACAAGCCTTATTCAAATGTTATCCATACCCCCTCAAATTTTATTCATAAGTACTATATTTAAATTTTTTTAAACAACGAACAATCCAATAAAATACCGAATACGCCATTTTGACCATTACAGTTTCTTGGACTTTTTATTCTATTAAACCACAATATTAATGTAAAAACAATCCGAGTAATTTTTGTGTTTTTAATTTATATATATATATAAAAATGCAACAAACGATTTTTGCTGTGCAAAATCAAAATATTTCAAGGAAATGATATCTTAAACGGTAAAATTAAAATCAAATCTTTATGTGAAATATATTTTCTCTTACTTTCATTATTGAATAATGTTAATGTGTTCAATATCACAATAGAATTCACTGACTCACACACAGTTAACACATTTGATATTTTGTAGATGCACAGAAGAGGAATGGGACTCAATGGAAAATATTCGTGTTTACCCACTTGGATACTATCCATGACAAAAATTCAGCCATGATTTGCATCGGAAAACAAATTGTGGATTATATTGTTGAATTTTAGTGAATACAATACTATATTTTACAAGATGGAATTACGACTCGCAAATAAAAGCTGTTTGTTAATAATGAGATATTTAGTGTTCATTGTAGTACTACGATCCCAATTTTAAAAAAATCCAGTATCAGTCGTTTTAGTAAGATTTCATTTTCATTCAACTTAGTATCGCGTTTCATCCTCTAGAATTATTCCCATGGGTGAACACTTTTTAAGAAAGTGCCCATGGAAATATCCAAAGGGCAAAACAACCGGATGAATGAAGACGAACAATAGAAAATAACTCTCCATTCCTGAAAAATAATGGAGAGTTTGAACAAAAGATTTACGTCACAGGTGTATTTTAATAATGGGTTATGGTTATTTCTGATAAATGAAGGAAATAATATCTTAAAGTTAGGGATGGTGGGTTAAAAGTTTTACACCTTAGAGAAAACATAAAAATTTCACACTTTTCTTTTTTAAACTGATGTTAAAAGAATCTATATATTTGTGTGTGTGTGTTTTAAGATGTAATTTATACTACTAACGCTCATCATTTTCTCGTCTGTCCACTTCGTCATAGACATCCATGGCTAATTCTTCAAATAAATGATTTGGCAGCTAAAAAGAGATATACATTTGGATTATAGAAATCTCCTCTTTAGTTGTTAATAATGTGTATTTTCTTTAAATATTTGAAACAGATGTAGAAATTTCAATTATATCACATGTATTTATATTGCAAATGAAACTAATGATTGAAATTAAGATAAATGGTTGATTTCTCAAAAATCTAGTTTAACCAAGACACCTTTAAGATTGCATGTCAGTAGTCAGGAACCTAAATCTTGTTGACGGTTGACTTTTATTATACCATAATATTGTACTGTTGTTCTTTGAGCAGATAGAAAATCTTGGAAAGTTTCTCTAGTTAATTTATTCACAACTTAATACATGTACACTCGAGGCAATTTAGAGGTTTACATTCATTTGTAAGTTATTCTCTGGTGTTAAAGGAAATATGTTGACTTCGAGATGTCTTTTGGGTTGCTCAATTGTTGGATTACTGTCTGGATCTTATTTACTTGAACCCAACATCTCTTTTTATTCATACAAAATACAGATCTAGTTGACCCACAATCCTCATTACTATTCAAGATAATAAGTACGACGACAAAATAGTATTCTTTTATGAAATGCAACTACTTATATCTGGAATTTAAGATAAAACTTTTACAGACAGGAAATGTAGGAGTCAGAGTGCTGACAATGCAATTTTCTATTAAATTTACTGATATTTCAATGCTTGCTGATATAAACCTTTGATATAAATTTCATTCAAATCTGGCAAGAATTGTACATGTGAAAGCACTTACCAGACAGGTTTGACAGATGCACAAACATAATTTTATAGGCATAGCTCACAAAAAAAACCAGTTGATCCACACTATTTTCAAACTCTTCCCAGGCATTACTCATATAAACCTTTGTTGCCAGAAACAATATAGCATTGTAATAATGAAAATAAACTCACAGCTTGTAATTTCAGCTTTGCTTGTTTAGCCAACTCTGATAAATCCAAACTACTGTAAAAAAAAACCTTTCTACTAAGATACTAATAGCAAACTAGAAAATGTGGATTAAATCATGTTTGTAAAATATAAATATTCTTAGTTTTGTGAAATCATTGTTTCACAACCATGACAACTTGTCGAACTACATCCTTTTTACATGTATACATTGAATATTTCATTTATTAATTTATTTTGTGGTGAACTTTAATTGTTTCTTGGCAGGACAATCTGACATGCACAAATATTTTTCAATAAATGATGCAAAATTACTTTTTGGATTTTCTTGTGTTGTCCTTTTTTTTATGTCTGTTATTGTTAATCAATTTAATTGATTAATCTAAAGCTTACTGTATTGCCACTCAAGACTATATGGCAACATCTGAGTTTAAAATTATGCCTTGCCAAGAGTTGCTTTGTTGCTGTTTTATTGATGGAAACCCCATGTCTCCTTGAACATAGTGTTTGTTGCACTTTGTTCCTTTACAATTTTCAATAGATTGGTAAATATACTGTAATGAATTATCTCCCTTTCATTGTCTAATATCTGTTCAAAGTCAGGAACATTGTCCTGTAGAGAAATTTTCTTTCCATGTTTTTTTATTAGAATTTGATGTTGATATCAGCTGTTATGTTGCTTAAGTTGATTTCATTCTAGACAGAAAATGAATCTGGCGTAGTTACAATTACTGGCCAGTATTGTGATCAAGGCTGTTACATTAAAACATACATGGTATCTAGGGAAGGCACTTCGAAAATAGGGTAACCATCTATAGCAGCAATTTTAGAATTTCTCTTACATTTTCATCTTTAAAAAAGTCTCTTAACACCCATCCAAAGGTGAAAGTTTAAAGTGCTTTCCCTGGGTCCCATGTGTGAGTTTAAGGAACAGCCCAAATAAGATATAGTCTATCCAACATGTATCTAACTACTGGTTCATGTGAATTCCTACATTAAATTCCAATAAGTGCAGATTTTATGCTGAATAACCTTCTGTGGGATAAATCAGTCCTTAAGTTTTCTATATGGAAGGTCGATAAATGACCTTGACTCTACACAACTTACCTGTCTGCCATTTCTGGGATAATAAAATGTATTCCATTCTTGTGATCTGGAAAATATATTCCTAAAATGTTTAAGTGAAGAATAAACAGAAAATAAAAGTAAAAGCAATACATATTTAGTTACTCAGACAATGGTTTCCTGAAAAGTCCTCTAACTGACCATTTTAAGTTGAACAACATATGAAACACAAAAATATCCTACTTGCTGCAATATTTGAATCATTTTTAAGGAAAACACCTGTTCAAACTGAGGCCATGATCAACTGAGACCTGTAAGGTGAACATCGTCATAGACATTTAATGAATACCTATACAAAATATTTTCAAATTATCATACATAATTGATACCCCCGCCCCGCTAAAAGTATAAGGTAAACAGGAAGTTGTTGAGTGATGAATCTGAAAACGAATCACACAGTATAGCTGACTCATATAAACCTTGAAACCAAATTTCAGAAATCCTTGTAATGTAGTTCCTGAGAAAGATGTGACGAATATATAAAGTATTCATGGGATGGACACATGGACTGACGAACAGACAGACAGAGGTAAAAAAGTATAACCCCCTTTTTTAAAGCGGGGGTATGAAAATGAGGGTAATAACAATATGATACAGTCATTTAGATATATACTCCTTATAATGAACCTGAATACCAAATATTGCTGACTTATTATGTATGGTAACTTATTCATAGACAAAGGCTTACCTGGTTTTCTCTTACAGACATAGTAAGCCAATCTATCTGTAAGTTCATAGTGTAATTCTAATATTCTGTCTGCTAAATCTATGTACAACTCAGCTCTGTAATGTATAAATCATTAAAATAATGTAATACTAATATTCACATTTTAAATTCTAATAGCTTTCTTCATATGCAGCATTTTCTTAAATCATATAAATACTTTTCTGAAGTTCAGCATATCATATTAGCAAATGCATATATACATGTATTTAATAAATTATTTTTGATTTTCCAATCTATTTGCACACATAATTCCAGAGTTTTTTCAAGGATTTCTTATACTAGAATCAGGTGCCAATTTACAAAAAGAATTACTTGAATTTTAAAACAGACTACTGAGTGTAACATTTCAATAGTACCCTTGATTTATTGTCAGGAATAAATCCTTTCTTTTCCATCATAAAAGCATCATCCTCTGGTTTAGGTTTTGTTAATTGCTTTGGCTGTCCTACTAAAACATTTAGTTGTATTGAAGGATAGTAAACACTAGCCAGTAACTAACAAATGTTTTAGTGATTTTGTCTCATGAAATAATACACCATATCCCTTCTTTTTCATCATAAAATGCAGTTCCTTTGGTTATGTTTAATGGCTAAGACATTTTGTCTCATGAATTAATATACCATATCTCTTCTATTCAATGCAATTGTGATAGGGTCATTTATATATTGAAATTATTTATTTGCAATGTACATATATTTTATTATTTATTATTTTCCATGTCCAGATAATTGTAGTTTAAAATATATGTAGTATTGATTTATTACGAAAGTATGGACATAAACAGTAGATTAATACAGGTGATCAATACTTTATATACATGTTTTTACTATTGTGATGTCATATCGACTGTTTAGTTGTGATGTAAGTCTTGTGATGTCATTTCGTATATCTGTGTGATGTAGATTTGGTACAGGAGTTTCATTGGACGATTATGTCACAAGGGATTAATTCTATTTTCTGATTGGTTAGATTTGACCGAGGGAAATTACAAAATTTTGATATTGTTTGAGAGAAAGCACTGGATCATTTTGTCTTGTGTAACTTTCGGAAATTTATTATATTTCTGTGATTATTTATTAGGAAATGTTCCTGTTGTCTCTAAGAATAAAGATTTAAATGTTGACAGTTGAATTATTGTTACCAGTACGTGTGGTATTATAACCTAAGTCCCATAGACAGGGTTATATTCTTACCATCTATTAAATATTTCCTGTACACAAGGGTGTCTAGTTTTTGTGATTAGCCAGTGGCCACCCCTGTTACACAATAATGTCTGAATTTCTTGGAATAATTAATTAGAATTATGTGGAAATACTTCATTAATTGGAAATTTCCCACAGGAATCAGAAATACTTAGCATGGGTTTTCCCACAGGAACCATTGACATACTCAGCATGAGTTTTCCCACAGGAATCAGACATACTTAGCATGAGTTTTCCCACAGGAATCAGACATACTTAACCTGAGTTTTCCCATAGGAATCATGGACATACTTAGCATGATGAATTACACCTACTTAGCATGATCAATAGGAGTTTTCCCATTGGAATCAAAAGCACCAGGGTCAGCTCCATAAATGACTAGAAGTTCTACTTGTAATGGTTGTCCACTCTGAGCAGCAACATGGAGAGGACAGTTACCTTTCTCCTACAAAATATAACACAATAGAAACATAAAATTGTTCGTGTTAAAAATATGGAATGCTAACAACTGCCAAATTAATTGTTAACATTTTCATTTGTCCACTTTTACAGTTTTCTACTTTCTTTTTGTCAACTTGTTCAGCTGTCTTACTATTTGAAGATAAAATCTAACTATTGTGGATTCATGATTATGTCATCAAACTTTGTTTATATATATATATATATATATATATATATGTAACATGTAAAACTTGCTTAACCAATGAAATAATGATATTTCTATAGAAATATGTTTTATCCACCTTGTGAAGGGCTGTCTTATGTCATATCTTAATGTTTTTTGTTATTTGGGAAATTTTGTCTTCATGGCAGATCTTTGATGGTTTCTGTTAAATTTATTCAAGACTTTTTCAGATTCAAGACCATTCAGATTGTGACATATTGTATAAGAGACCTGTCTGCTATTGGAAGACTGTTATCCAGTTTGTTATGTTATTTTTGGGTTTCTGTCTTTTTTTTTATATCATCATATCAACTTACCGGATGAAAATAATTAGGGTCAGCTCCTTTGGACAGAAGTCTTAAACATGTTTCTAAGTTACTCGTTCTTACACTGGAGTGAAGTTGCTGTAATAGAAATATATCAGTCTCAATTCTTGGGTAAATAATATGAGCATCATTTATTCTGCTCATAACAAAATATTAGAAAAAAAGAAAAGGAGAATATAGATATAAGAAGATGTGGTATGAGTGCCAATGAGACAACTCTCCATCCAAGTCAAAATTTATAAAAGTAAACCATTATAGGTCAAAGTACGGTCTTCAACACGGAGCCTTGGCTCACACCGAACAGCAAGTATGATTCTAGCCAGTAAAAAATATTATGTTCTTTTCTAAGTGTTTCCAATCTATTGGCAAATGTACAAATGCTGTACAGTTATATAGTTTAGGAATTAAATGTGAAGAAAAGTAGATGAATTTAAATGTTAACATTTGTCACACGTTTCAAGGCTTGGAAGTGATATTTTAAAACAAAAGGAATCTTTATTCAAGTTTTGGCATGGTTTCAACTGTCTCACCTGGTCTCTAAAATGAAAAAAAAAGAAAGAAAAAAAAGATGGTCTATTGAGTTACTCTCTTTATCCAGATCATCTTTTGAGTTACTCACCTTACTCAGATCATCTATCGAGTTAACATCACCATCTTTTTGTTTATTGATAAACTGTAAAAACTGATATTTGGACCGAATGAATTCTGCCTTCACAGGACTGTAAATATAATACTATCATTAACATGAGAAATGCAATCATCCTCAATAGCAAATGTAAGAAAGGCCTTATATACTTTATGGAACAGTAGGTAAGAAAGGTCCTATATACTTTATGGAACAGTAGGTAAGAAAGGACCTATATACTTTATGGAACAGTAGGTAAGAAAGGTCCTATATACTTTATGGAACAGTAGGTGAGAAAGGATCTATATACTTTATGGAACAGTAGGTAAGAAAGGTCCTATATACTTTATGGAACAGTAGGTAAAAAAGGACCTATATACTTTATGGAACAGTAGGTAAGAAAGGTCCTATATACTTTATGGAACAGTAGGTGAGAAAGGACCTATATACTTTATGGAACAGTAGGTAAGAAAGGTCCTATATACTTTATGGAACAGTAGGTAAGAAAGGTCCTATATACTTTATGGAACAGTAGGTAAGAAAGGACCTATATACTTTATGGAACATTAGGTAAGAAAGGTCCTATATACTTTATGGAACAGTAGGTGAGAAAGGACCTATATACTTTATGGAACAGTAGGTAAGAAAGGTCCTATATACTTTATGGAACAGTAGGTAAGAAAGGACCTATATACTTTATGGAACAGTAGGTAAGAAAGGCCTTATATACTTTATGGAACAGTAGGTGAGAAAGGACCTATATACTTTATGGAACAGAAGTTTAGAAAGGTCCTATATACTTTATGGAACAGTAGGTAAGAAAGGTCCTATATACTTTATGGAACAGTAGGTAAGAAAGGTCCTATATACTTTATGGAACAGTAGGTAAGCAAGGTCCTATATACTTTATGGAACAGTATGTGTATAAATTTGCTGAGATTTACTTGTATTTATAATTGTAATAATTGTTTTGATTGCATTCATTTCAGATTAGTTAAGACAAGGTTCAGTTATTTCAGTATGACAACCAACTCATACATACACAACTTGACTCATAGATTTAAAAAAACAAATTAATACAAAAGTCAGAGTACTGTGGATTCATTACTATTCGTTGGATACCAATCTTTGTGGGTTTCGTGGGTACAGGTGAACCACGAATTCAAATGTTCAGCAAATTACAAATTTTCTATTGGATTTGTATTCAGAGATTTGCAAAACCACCAAATCAAATATCCATGAAAATGCTAAATTTCTTTAATTTTACGAAAATTGTTACCCACGAAAATAAATGATTCCACAGTATTTTTTCATAGATTTTGTATGGTAAATATTAATTCTTCTAATGGAAGAAAAGGAAATAGCATGTCCACTCCACAGAGTAGGGTACAGGGGACCATCAGCAAGCTTTACAAACTCTGACCATTGTAGTGGACGAGTGAAAGTGACAAAATCTGCCTACTCTGTATTTGCCTAGATTAGCTAGCAGTACCTGTGGTAATGTTTCTTTTAAATGTTTTAGACTGTTAAGTATGTGGTGTGTCTGGATATATCCTGGGGATAAGTTTTTTCTGTGATTGCTAAGTGAGAGGTTGTGTGGTAATGACTTTACTTGGTTTCAGGGTCCAGGTAAATGTACCTTTTTCCTCTGTTAACTCTTTAAATAGTAAAGCTATACTTACTGCACTTGGTCCCTTGGGCCTGGTTTCTTTTTCCCATGTTTACTCTGTGAAGGGTCCAATAATGAATGTTCCCATATACTGTTGGCACCATGATTTGCAAGATGTTGTACCATCTACAAATAAATTGCAACTGTTTTACATACTGAAATTACAGCAATCTTGTTAATGATAATAACCAATATTAATAAAATGCTCCGCAGTGCGCAGCTTGATACGACCGCAGAGGTCGAACCCTGAACAGTTGGGGCAAGTATGGACACAACATTCAAGCTTGATATAGCTCTGAATTTGGATTGTGATTAAATATTTGACACAGCATAGGTTTCTGACACAGAATGAATGTGGTCTAAGAACTTAAAAATTTTAAATTGGACATTCACCTATTATGGTCCAATATCCAAAATCTAAATACATGGTTAGATTCAGCATATCAAAGAACCCCAAGAATTCAATTTTTGATGAAATCAAACAAAGTTTAATTTTGGACCCTTTTGACCTCAATGTGGACAAAGTTGATAACGGGGCCCAAAAATCAAAAATTTAAATACATGGTTAGATTCAGCATATCAAAGAACCCCATATATTCAATTTTTGTTGAAATCAAACAAAGTTTAATTTTGGACCCCAATTTGGACCAACTTGAAAACTGGGCCCATAATCAAAAATCTAAATACATGTTTAGATTCAGCATATCAAAGAACCCTAAAAATTCAATTTTTGTTAAAATCAAACTAAGTTTAATTTTGGACCCTTTGGACCTTAATGTAGACCAATTTGAAAACGGAACCAAAAATTAAGATTCTAAATACACGGTTAGATTCGGCATATCAAAGAACTCCAATAATTCAATTTTTGATGAAATCAAACAAAGTTAAATTTTGGACCCTTTGGACCTCAATGTGGACCAATTTAAAAATGGGGCCCAAAATCCAAAAACTTAATACACGGTTAGATTCAGCATATTAAAGAACCCCAAGAATTCAAGAATAAAACCCCATTGAAATTGATCAAGAAATAAGCAATTTATACGAAGTATCTTCTTTTGCACAATACTGTGCAATTGAATATTTCTTGCTATTGTGCAATACTGTACAATTGACAATTTCTTGCTATTGCGCAATATTGTGCTATTGGATATTTCTTGCTATTGCGCAATACTGTGCAATTGAAGATTTCTTGCTATTGCGCAATACTGTGCAATTGAAGATTTCTTGCTATTGTGCAATACTGTGCAATTGAAAATTTCTTGCTATTGCACAATACTTATCATATAATAATTTACACATCCTGTTTGGTGTGTATCTCCTACCATATCATTATTATTTGCTTTTAAATATTAATCAGAAATAACCAACTTAAAATGGAAAATTTTAAAAGAAAAAAAAAAGGAAAAAAAAAAAAAAAAAGAAAAACAAAAAATCCCCCCTCCCAAATTTTTTGAACCCCCTTATGATTCATCACCCCAAACTCAATACCAGCCTTCCCTTTGTGGTATGGTACCTTGCAGTACAATTTCAGAGAGATCCATACACTTGAACACAAGTTATTGTCTGGAAACTAGAAAAATGCTTATTTTTGGCCCCTTTTTGGCCCCCAATTCCTAAACGTTTAGGGCAATTACCCCCAAACTCAATTCCAGCTTTCCCTTTGTGATATGGAACCTTGTAGTACAATTTCAGAAATATCCAAACACTTACACACAAGTTATTGTCATGAAACTAGAAAAATGCTTGTTTTTTGCCCCTTTTTTGGCCCCTAATTCCTAAAATTTTGAGGCAATTACCCCCAAAATCAATTACAGCCTTCCCTTTGTGATATGGAACCTTGTGGTACAATGTCAGAGAGATCCATACACTTACACACAAGTTATTGTCTGGAAGTTACAAAAATGCTTATTTTTGGCCCCTTTTTGGCCCCTAATTCCTTAACTGTTGGTACCATAACCCCCAAAATCAATCCCAACCTTTCTTTCGTGGTATTGAACCTTATGGTAAAATTTCATGGAGATCCATTCACTTAAACTAAAGTTAGAGTGCGAAAACCAATGTGTCTTTGGACGACGCCGGACGACACCAGACGACGACGCCAACGTCATACCAATATACGACCAAAAATTTTTTAATTTTTGCGGTCGTATAAAAATTCCTCAGAAATTTCTGTGCATAATAATTTTTCACATTTTGTATTTAAGTTAGTAATGTCCAAATACATCATGTTTTAAAGTGCATGGTTTTTGGTATAAAATTAACATATTTCTGCCCATTCTATCATTATCTGACCAATAATGTTTTTTTTTCTGTATATTTTTTTGTAAGACATTGCTGAACATTATGAATTTAATGCATAGAAACCAAACATTTTGTTTAGGCTATGGTAGTTATTTCATTAATGGTTGATCATTTCAAACATGTCAAAAGCTTATTATAAGAATTTTTCTGTGAACCAAACTTGTTTCAGACTGATGAAAGGAAGGACAAATGGATGGACACATGCATCACTGTATTTCCCCTCTTCGACCTCTTTATGATGGTCATGGAGGTATTAAAAAATGCAATTTAAAAGTAGTATCTCTAAGAATCTCTAGCAGGATGGCAAGTTTGACAGCTGGAAAATTAATGTAAGAGTGTATGAGGACCGTGTATCATTAAAAAAACAGCAGAGAATATAACTTGACAAAAAATTCCATGGTATTTTGATAATTTTAAGAATTTGACTTACTGACAATAATGTGGGACTCCATTGTCCCTTGTTGAGTGATTTTATCTACTTACAGACAATAATGTGGGACTCCATTGTCCTTTGTTGAGTGATTTTATCTACTTTCAGACAATAATGTGGGACTCCATTGTCCCTTGTTGAGTGATTTTATCTACTTACAGACAATAATGTGGGACTCCATTGTCCCTTGTTGAGTGATTTTATCTACTTACAGACAATAATGTGGGACTCCATTGTCCTTTGTTGAGTGATTTTATCTACTTACAGACAATAATGTGGGACTCCATTGTCCTTTGTAGAGTGATTTTATCTACTTACAGACAATAATGTGGGACTCCCTTGTTGAGTGATTTTATCTACTTACAGACAATAATGTGGGACTCCATTGTCCCTTGTTGAGTGATTTTATCTACTTACAGACAATAATGTGGGACTCCATTGTCCTTTGTTGAGTGATTTTATCTACTTACAGACAATAATGTGGGACTCCATTGTCCTTTGTTGAGTGATTTTATCTACTTACAGACAATAATGTGGGACTCCATTGTCCTTTGTTGAGTGATTTTATCTACTTACAGACAATAATGTGGGACTCCATTGTCCTTCGTTGAGTGATTTTATCTACTTACAGACCATCATGTGGGACTCCATTGTCCTTTGTGGAGTGATTTTATCTACTTACAGACAAAAATGTGGGACTCCATTGTCCTTTGTTGAGTGATTTTATCTACTTACAGACAATAATGTGGGACTCCATTGTCCTTTGTGGAGTGATTTTATCTACTTACAGACAATAATGTGGGACTCCATTGTCCTTTGTTGAGTGATTTTATCTACTTACAGACAATAATGTGGGACTCCATTGTCCTTCGTTGAGTGATTTTATCTACTTACAGACCATCATGTGGGACTCCATTGTCCTTTGTGGAGTGATTTTATCTACTTACAGACAATAATGTGGGACTCCATTGTCCCTTGTTGAGTGATTTTATCTACTTACAGACAATAATGTGGGACTCCATTGTCCCTTGTTGAGTGATTTTATCTACTTACAGACAATAATGTGGGACTCCATTGTCCTTTGTTGAGTGATTTTATCTACTTACAGACAATAATGTGGGACTCCATTGTCCTTTGTTGAGTGATTTTATCTACTTACAGACAATAATGTGGGACTCCATTGTCCTTTGTTGAGTGATTTTATCTACTTACAGACAATAATGTGGGACTCCATTGTCCTTCGTTGAGTGATTTTATCTACTTACAGACCATCATGTGGGACTCCATTGTCCTTTGTGGAGTGATTTTATCTACTTACAGACAATAATGTGGGACTCCATTGTCCTTTGTTGAGTGATTTAATCTACTTACAGACAATAATGTGGGACTCCATTGTCCTTTGTGGAGTGATTTTATCTACTTACAGACAATAATGTGGGACTCCATTGTCCTTTGTTGAGTGATTTTATCTACTTACAGACAATAATGTGGGACTCCATTGTCCTTCGTTGAGTGATTTTATCTACTTACAGACCATCATGTGGGACTCCATTGTCCTTTGTGGAGTGATTTTATCTACTTACAGACAATAATGTGGGACTCCATTGTCCTTTGTGGAGTGATTTTATCTACTTACAGACAATAATGTGGGACTCCATTGTCCTTTGTTGAGTGATTTTATCTACTTACAGACAATAATGTGGGACTCCATTGTCCTTCGTTGAGTGATTTTATCTACTTACAGACCATCATGTGGGACTCCATTGTCCTTTGTGGAGTGATTTTATCTACTTACAGACAATAATGTGGGACTCCATTGTCCTTTGTGGAGTGATTTTATCTACTTACAGACAATAATGTGGGACTCCATTGTCCTTTGTTGAGTGATTTTATCTACTTTCAGACAATAATGTGGGACTCCATTGTCCCTTGTTGAGTGATTTTATCTACTTACAGACAATAATGTGGGACTCCATTGTCCTTTGTGGAGTGATTTTATCTACTTACAGACAATAATGTGGGACTCCATTGTCCTTCGTTGAGTGATTTTATCTACTTACAGACAATAATGTGGGACTCCATTGTCCTTTGTGGAGTGATTTTATCTACTTACAGACAATAATGTGGGACTCCATTGTCCTTTGTGGAGTGATTTTATCTACTTACAGACAATAATGTGGGACTCCATTGTCCTTTGTTGAGTGATTTTATCTACTTACAGACAATAATGTGGGACTCCATTGTCCTTTGTTGAGTGATTTTATCTGTGAAATGTGACGACCAAGACTTCTATGTACACTACAACACTCATCACAAATTAGCACTCCACGATTTATAGAGGCCCATGTGGGATCTGTAAACAAATTTACAAAATATACAATACTATTCTGGTTTAACAAACCCTCATTCTCTAAACTAATATGAGTCATTTTATGCACTGTATATTATAGATACACATGTAGATTTATTTGATCAAATATCAACATAAAACATTACAAAAATAGTATAAACATTAGCAGACATGTAAACATAGTAATTTTTACTAAAATCATAAAATCTTTTTGATACCTAATCAGGATTGCCCATGACAGCCATACAGCTTATTTCCAATGAGGTCCATTTATGTTAGGGCTAGAATGGACCTCATTGGAAATAAGCTAAGAAATTATTGAGAGCTTTTTGTTATCACGAATAATAAAGAGACTAATATGTTTTGGAGTTTAGTATGATGTCCATTTTCACTGAACTAGTGCACATTGTTGTTTAGGGGCCAGCTGAAGCCCGCCTCCGGGTGTAAGATTTTCTCGCTGTGTTGAAGACCCATTGGTGGCCTTCGGCTGTTTTCTGCTCTTTGGTCAGCTTGTTGTCTCTTTGACACATTCCCCATTTCCATTCTCAACTTTACTGAGTGAATATTGGAATAGTAAGAACTGCTATACTGATACCTCATACATATATTTGTGTGAAGCTTTTCATGCATTTGCAATAAATATTCTCACATGTTGGTCTGTTATGTCAAAATCACAAGAACAAATGTGTGCAACACTTTCTGAATTTACAGCATGTACAGTATATGGCGTTTTCTAGATCTGATTCTTGATTATAACCTGAGATGAATTATTCAATGTAAAATGAAGGTCAATGTAACTCTATTTTGCTTAGTACTTCTTCACAATCAAAGATATGCATGTTTCTAAGACTTGAACATGTCATCTATAAATTTATATATATGTCCTTCTGTTAAACTCATTTTGAAATTGTCTAAATTTTTTTACATTTGTCATTTTGGGGCCTTTTATAGCTGACTATGCGGTATAAGTTTTGCTTATTGTTGAATGCCGTACGGTGACCTATAGTCATCATAGTTGTAAACTTTTATGTCATTTGGTCTTTGGTGGAGAGTTGTCTCATTGGCAATCATTGGAGTTTAGTATGACGTCCATTTTCACTGAACTAGTACACATTTTTATTTAGGGGCCAGCTGAAGCCCGCCTCCGGGTATGGGATTTTCTCGCTGTGTTGAAGACCCATTGTTGGCCATCGGCTGTTTTCTGCTCTTTGGTCGGGTTGTTGTCTCTTTGACATATTCCCCATTTCCATTCTCAATTTTATACCACATCTTCTTATTTATATATCTCTCTCCATAGATAGTAAAATGTGTACGATATAGGTATTTTTGTTAAATGTTATTACAATTAATGTACCTAGCTTTAACCAGGAGCTCATTAATATAGGCAATACAGTGCCCCGCAATTGTTTACATTTGGTCTATGTTGGAAAGTTGTCTCATTTTTATTAAGGATGTAGTCAGTTCAGGTTCGGACTCTTTGGGTTTTTTCTACGATACAGGGTAAAATATTTCGCCCCATATCACCCACTTTTCTTTTCATAAAAGACTTCAATAGCTCATAAAAGGTCATTACCAAAATCTAAGCAGATCCTATATATATTTCTTTTCTTATGATTTGAATCCCAAATAATGCCAATGCTAAATATAAAGTGAAAGTCCGAGTCAGCCTTTTCCTGCCATTTTTTTTAAATCAAATAAAAGTATATCAAAAATAAGTCCCATAACCTATCAATATTTTTTTAGCTTATTTTGTTTCCTTAACTAAAGCTCTTCTGGTTTTAATATAGTATCAATTTTAAATTCCAGATTTCTAAAATTTTATCTGACTACATCCTTAAAAATTTCAAACTTCCTTCCAATCCTTTAAAGTGAAACATGGGCAAAGGATCTGTATTTTAATCAGATTGATGCTGGTGATTAACTCAGGGGAGATAACTTATTTCATTATCAGTATGTGAGTATGAGTTATCTCCCCTCAATAACATCTGCTGTAATTAACAATGTTTTGTCCTGCATAGATGCACTAATTACAGTTTACATAAAACAAGCAGATGCAAAATATCTGAGTACAATGCATTACCTCCTACTGACACTTACATCATGTCATGTATATAAAATGTAGTACAGTCTTGCTCAACAATGTTCAAACTCTTCAATTAGCATTTTTTAAGCAAACATGTATGTTAAGCTTTCAAGAATATTAAAAATAACATTAACATGATTAAATAATCCACAAAACATGTCATTGGCATTTGCTTAAAACATTAAGTAATGTTCATTATTTTCTTAACTACTGCTATACAAAATTATTCCCCTTTTATAATTTTGTGAGCTTAATACTAATAATTACCCTCCCCCCCCTCCCCGACATTTCTCCTCTTTTTTTTCAGTTGTTTTTTTGTTTGTTTTACTTTTAAAATACTGCATGGTAATTGGTTTGTTAAATCTATTTATACCGTTATTATCTGTTACTATACATAATATACATTTAAGACTTCCAATCATTTGCTATCTTTTTTATTAATAAAAACATACAATAAGTTCTGGTGCCATGTTGCAGCATCTCTAATCTATAGGATCAATGATGATAAGATATGCCACAGTTTTTCATCAAAATATATGGATTATAATTTTGAATCAAGAAAATTTGGAAAAAAGCCCACTTTATCAATGGTAGAACATTGATTATAGATGAAACATGAAATTGTATGATAAAAAGAAGATAAAAATCTTTCTCATGTAGCTAAAAAGTTGTAAGTATACACAGATACATGTGCTAATGCAGTAACTGTGAGAAAATAGCTCCCTCTTTGTGTTGGAATAAATGGAGATAAGAATCGACATTATGAAACAGCAACTACACAACACATTAACCAAAATAAACATTAATCATCATGTATCCTATTCTGACCAGCCCTTGGTGACTCCTGCATCTAGTCAGCTAATTATTGTTCCATGTACACTAAACATGAAAAGAATGCTTATCTGAAGTTAATTACCTTATTTGGACCATTATGAAAAGTACATCCTATACTTTTAATCACTTTAAAAGCGGAAACACTGTTTTGTTTCAATAAAAAAACCTCCATTAATGTAATATAACATTTTCCCTATGTATGGGGTATGGGGATTCTCCTACGTGTATACACATTCTGGTACATGGTAAATAAATGAAACCTATGGAGGATACCTAAGGGACAATTAAAACTCATAAGTAGAAGAGAGTTAAACAAAACCATGGAAAACAAGAAAAACAACAAAAAAACAAAAAAAAAAAAATTTAGAAAGGTAAAAGTGACACCACCTAAATTCAAACTTGATCTGTGTTTCGTATGGACTGATGGACGGATGTACAGACGGACAAGGGTAAACTTAATGCCCCCTCCACTACGGTGGGAGCATAAAAACAGTCAATAAACACTATATATAACTAAAGGTCAAGGTACAGCCTTCAACAATGAGCATATAATCCATACCCCATAGCAAGCTATAAATGGCCTTGATAGGGCATATGAATAGTACATGTATTAATTATAAACTAATGTCTGATGTTTGAGTTATTTGAATTAATACTGTACAAATTAATGTGTAGTTTGAATGTTTCTAATGATTGTATTGATTTCCACTCATGGTTCTCTATATAAAAAACAATGTTATTGTATGAAAAGCAAAAAAACATTTATTAACATGTAAAGCAACATGTGTGAATATAAAGTTTGTTTGAAAAAGTAAACAATTTATAAAAAGTAGTTTTGCCAACATGTGTTTAGGTCAAACAAAATAAAATGCTCCGCAGGGTGCAGCTTGATACGACCGCAGAGGTCGTACCCTGAACAGTTGGGGCAAGTATGGACACAACATTCAAGCTTGATACAGCTCTAAATTTGGATTGTTATTAAATATTTGACACAGCATAGGTTTCTGACACAGAATGAATGTGGTCTAAGAACTTAAAAATTTTAAATTGGACATTCACCTATTATGGTCCAATATCCAAAATCTAAATACATGGTTAGATTCAGCATATCAAAGAACCCCAAGAATTAAATTTTTGATGAAATCAAACAAAGTTTAATTTTGGACCCTTTTGACCTCAATGTGGACAAAGTTATTAACGGGGCCCAAAAATCAAAAATCTAAATACATGGTTAGATTCAGTATATCAAAGAACCCCATATATTCAATTTTTGTTGAAATCAAACAAAGTTTAATTTTGGACCCCGATTTGGACCAATTTGAAAACTGGGCCCATAATCAAAAATCTAAAAACATGTTTAGATTCAGCATATCAAAGAACCCTAAAAATTCAATTTTTGTTAAAATCAAACTAAGTTTAATTTTGGACCCTTTGGACCTTAATGTAGACCAATTTGAAAACGGAACCAAAAATTAAGAATCTAAATACACGGTTAGATTCCGCATATCAAAGAACCTCAATAATTTAATTTTTGATGAAATCAAACAAAGTTAAATTTTGGACCCTTTGGACCTCAATGTGGACCAATTTAAAAACAGGGCCCAAAATCCAAAAACTTAATACACGGTTACGGGTAGATTCAGCATATTAAAGAACCCCAAGAATTCAAGAATAAAAACCCCATTGAAATTGATCAAGAAATAAGCAATTTATATGAAGTATCTTCTTTTGCACAATACTGTGCAATTGAATATTTCTTGCTATTGCGCAATACTGTACAATTGACAATTTCTTGCTATTGCGCAATATTGTGCTATTGAAGATTTCTTGCTATTGTGCAATACTGTGCAATTGAAAATTTCTTGCTATTGCACAATACTTATTATATAATAATTTACACATCCTGTTTGGTGTGTATCTCCTACCATATCATTATTATTTGCTTTTAAATATAAATCAGAAATAACCAACTTAAAATGGAAAATTTTAAAGGCAAAAAAAAAGGAAAAAAAGAAACCCCCCCCCCCCAAATTTTTTGAACCCCCTTATGATTCATCACCCCCAAACTCAATCCCAGCCTTCCCTT